AATTGTTACCTTGTATTCCAGACATTTATTGTTACTTAGTACTTCAGATATGTGTTGTTACCTTGTATTTCAGATATGTGTTGTTACCTTGTATTTCAGATATGTGTTGTTACCTTGTTTACTAGATATTTGTTGTTATCTTATTAACTAGATATTTGATGTTACCTTGTTTACTAGATATTTGTTGTTATCTTGTTTACTAGATATTTGTTCTTATCTTGTTAACTAGATATTTGATGTTTCCTTTTTTACTAGATATTATGTTATCTTGTTATTCCCCGCCGATAGATCGGGGGATATTGTTTTTGCGTTGTCCGTCCGTCCTTCCGTCCATCCGTCCGTCCGAATTTCGTTTCCGCGGTAGTTCTCTGCCACTACTGGCTGGAATTCAATGAAACTTTATGGGAATCATCAATAGCAACAGGAGATGCGCATTTCGTCGGCTTGTTCCAGTCGGACTTTTTAACTCAGAGTTATGGCCCTTGATAAGTTTTGCAGTGTGCATATAGAACAAAAATTGTTTCCGCACAACGTCTCTACAACTACTAGCTGGAATTTAATGAAACTTTATGGGAACCTTTAATACCAAGAGATGATGCGCATTTCGTCGCCTTGTTTTGGTCAGACAATTTAACTCAGAGTTATGGCCCTTGATTAGTTATGCAGTAAGCATATAGAGCAAAAATCGTTTTCGCGCTACTTCACTGCAACTACTGGCTGGAATTCAACGAAACTTTATGGGAACCTTCAATACCAAGAGGAGATGTGCGTATTGTTGCCTTGTTCCGGTCAGACACTTTAACTCGAGTTATGGTTCTTGATAAAATGTGCAGTATGCATATAGAGCAATAATTGTTTCCATGCTAGTTCTCTGCAACTACTGGCTGGAATTCAACGAAACTTTATGGGAACCTTCAATACCAAGAGGACATGCACATATAGTCGCCTTGTTCTGGTCAGACACTTTAACTCAGAGTTATGGTCCATGATTACTTATGCAGTTTGCATATAGCGCAATAATCGTTTCCGTGCTACTTCTCAGCAACTACTGGCTTAAATTCAACGAACTTTTATGGGAACCTTCAATACCAACATATCGTCGGCTTGTTCCGGTCAGACCCTTTAACTCAGAGTAATGGCGCTTGATTAGTTATGCAGTATGCATATAGAGCAATAATCATTTTCATGCTTCTTCTCTGCAACTACTTGCTGGAGTTTACAACGGAACTTTATGGGAACCTTCAATACCAAGAGGAGATGCACATATAGTCGCCTTGTTCTGGTCAGACACTTTAACTCAGAGTTATGGCCCTTGATTAGTTATGCAGTATGCATATAGGGCCAACTTTATGGAACCTTCAAAAACAAGAGGAGATGCGCATGTCATCGCCTTGTACCGGTCAGACACTAACTCGGAGTTATGACCCTTGTTTAGTTATGCTTCTCTGCAACTACTTGCTGGAATTCAATTAAACTTTATAGGAACCATTGATACCAAGGTTGAGATGTGCATACTTTGTTGCCTTGTTCAGACCATGCAGACCCTTCATTACAGAGTTATGGTCCTTGATTAGTTATGTAGTGTACATATAGAGCAATATGGCTATTTCTTTGCAACTGCTGTATTGATTTCAACAAAACGTTATGGGAACCATAGATACAAAAAGGCAATTTACATCTCATTGCCATGTCCAGATATTACTATTTAACAGTAAGGCTCTGTTATTGCCCTGAATATTTATTATGTACTAAGAATATTACTTTCTACGCCATGATAAATATATAAATAAAGCCTTATGTCTTCAGTTGTTGTGTTAGTAATAACCAGTACTCGGCGGGGGATATAAATTCAACGAATTTGCTTGTTAACTAGATATTTGATGTTACCTTGTTTACTAAATATTTGTTGTTATCTTGTTAGCTAGATATTTGATGTTACCTTGTTTACTAGATAAGTGTTGTTACATGGTCTACTACGTATTTGTTGTTACATTGTTTACTAGATATTTGTTGTTATATTGTTTACTAGATATTTGTTGTTATATTGTTTACTAGATATTGTTGACACAAAAAAGCTCGAATTCGCTATTCCTTTCATTATCTGTTTACATCAATATTGACAAATAGGGGTGTCGATAATTCTTATATAAAAGCATATTATTTTATTGCCTAAATCTTTAATCACCTAAATAATTACTCATTTCTAACTGTTCAGCGTAAAAGCGTAGTGGTTGAGTGTCGGCTTCGTAAGAGTAAAGACCCCGGTTCGATTCATGGAAAGGGCATTTTTCCTTTCCAATATTTTTTTAATATATTTATTTCAACGATCAGGATTTTAGTTCCTAGTGAATTTAGTTCATGCAATACTATTTGAGAACATATAGTTTTACACACTTATTCGCTTAAAATTTTTGTTTTTATTTAAATATATATAAATATACAATTGAGCCGAAATTATGTAGCGTGTACCGAGCGGTCGATGATTATTTAATCTAGTTGCTACAAAATAAAATCACAATAATCTTAATATTCTTGACATTCTTTAATGCAAATACACGTAATTTTTCTCGGGATACTTATCCTTATGATTGAAAAAAAAAACAAAAACAAAACATCATTCATTCAAAATGACAATCTTGATATATTTCTAAATTCAGTCAAAAATATTTATTCCAAGACACAATTTATTTTCTCAACAACAATTCTCAAACATATACCAGTCGAAAGCTTAACCTATCCTTCATTCCCCTACTTTAACATTTCAACAATCTCTCATCCTACATTCCTTTCTAAAGATACAATAATTCACACATTGATAACAAATAGTTACTCAATAATCATTTGCCTTATAAATATATATCATCCTTAGTACCAGATATCCGAGATTTCTGTGTACTAGTAACTATATATATAAGCTTTAACTTCAACCATAATATTTCTAATCAACCGTTTGCCCGAGAGGTCTTACTGAAACAATAGAACATTTCAGTACCAGATATATGAGATTCTGTGTACATGAAAATGCTACTATCATTACGATCCGACTCTAACAAGGACATAACCAAACATATTTCAAATATATATTTCCCTAGAACAATTATTCAGAGGTTTGACAGATATAGTAAAATGTCCTTAGTGCCATTTATCTGCGATTTCTGTACACAAGTATGTATTTACTACGTCGTTCCCTTCTATACACATACATATTCAAACCAACTTAAAATACCCATTTCTCAAACTTTCTTCAATCGAACGTTTGTCCATGAGGTTTCACATAAGCAGCAAGATATTTTTAGCACCGGATATCTAAGATGCATCAGTACTAGTAAATATAATACTGCTCTGATCTGCCTTACGGACGAAACCAAACTGAATCTTTTGCGCTGCGCTTGCTGTATTTATACTAGTGAGTGAACCATCTCCGCAGTGAATGAAAACAATGATTTTGATTGGCTAATAAAATTAAAACGTTTCTTGATACTGATTCTAACAAAATCTTATAAGCGTCAATTACTTAAAGTTATTTCTCTTATGAACTACTGTGAACAATAGATATACAATTTCAAATACAAACACTTTGAATGATACCCTAAAGTTATACAGATTTGAAAGTTAAAATAATTAAAATACCTACTCTTTATACCATGATAAATTTACATATACATTATTATATTTTTCCAATACAAATGGCGAAATTATAGAAAAGGGAGGCAATAGAGTTACACATCAAGTACGTTTCCGTCACATTAAAAAATGTAGCAAATTGAATTCAGAGTTTTTAATAGTATTAAATTGACAAAACTATTCAATCTGTTCAAGGACTGTTAAAGTCAAATTCATTCAATTTTGCTAAATCGTTGTAAGGTGAACTTTAAATTATACAAAATTATAAATCACAGGTTTATAAGAGAATATAAATATGTTTTTTGAAAGTAAAAACCATACAAACACAAAAAATAATTGCACAATTGCAGATTTGAACTCGGGAAAAAATTGTTCTTAACTTTCTCTTCATAATCTAGAGTCTCTAACCACTACGCTACCCGGATTTACGTGTCCATATCCACCATTATTCTTCTATATTGCAAAAGAAATGCAAAATGTACTCACAACTCATTATATCATAGTATGACCGATTGATATAAACGTTATCGTGTTCGACGTTTATCTTGTTTACTAGATATTTGTTGTTACCTTGTTTCCTAGATATTTTTTGTTACCTTGTTTACTAGATATGTCTTGTTATCTAGTATTAAAGATACAATGTATTTGTTGTTATTCTTGTTTACTTGATATTTGTTGTTACATTGTTTACTAGATATTTGTTGTTACCTTGTTTACTAGATATGTCTTGTTATCTAGTATTAAAGATACAATGTATTTGTTGTTATTCTTGTTTACTTGATATTTGTTGTTACATTGTTTACTAGATATTTGTTGTTACCTTGTTTACTAGAAATGAGTTGTTATCTTGTTTGCTAGATATTTGATGTTACCTTGTTTACTAGATATTTGCTGTTACCTTGTTTACTAGATATTTGTTGTTATCTTGTATTTAAGATATGTGTTGTTATCTTGTTTACTTGATATTTGTTGTTACCTAGTTTACTAGATATTTGTTATAACCTTGTTTACTAGATATTTGTAGTTGTCTTGTTTACTATATATTTGTTGTTACCTTGTTTACCAGGTATTTGTTGTTGCATTGTTTACGAGATATTTGTTATAACCTGTTAACTAGATATTTGTTGTTGTCTTGTTTAATATACATGTATATTTATTGTTGTCCTGTTTACCAGATATGTGTTGTTACCTTGTTTACTATATATTTGTTATAACCTTGTTTACTAGATATTTGTAGTTGTCTTGTTTACTAGATATTTGTTATAACCTTGTTTACTTGATATTTGTAGTTGTCTTGTTTACCAGATATTTGTTGTTGCCTTTTATACTTAATATTTGCTGTTACTGGTCGTGCTGATAGAATATTTTTGCTTCAGTTATCAGTATGATGTCGGTCAAGTGTTCAATTCTTTTTCTGACGATTCTAGTACTTGTTGTCCCAGCAAAGGTAAAATTTTCCTCTTTGAAACGTTGTTTAATACAGTAGTAGTATTTCAGCACATTTTTGCATCTTTAATGGCCGCTGCTCTTTTAGTCACGACAAGGAGGATGAAATAATGGTTAGCTTATACATTTTTCCTGTATTATAAATCTTTATGATTATTACTGATTGATAACTGAATTATCTTTGACACATTTATTAATATATATATTGCAATTTATTGTAACAAGTATATATAATTCGGTGTCCATAATCTCACATATGTTTGTGTTTATTCAAAATGATCATGATCAAGTTAAACAGTTTCAGTCTCCAAGTATCTACTCCCTTCATGTTAGAACGGATGTTCAGTACCGCTTTGCTACTACACTGGTCACCAGCCGAGTGGCCAACCCGGCTAACTACACACAGGAGACTGTTTTCAATGTCTTCCTACCAGAGGAGGCCTTTATTTCAAACTTTACTCTGTATGTACAAATTCATATGAAGAAACTGCTGTTCACTTCATTCATTTATTTCAAAGCGTGTGGTTTGTTTCATTTCGATAACTATATAAAGACGTCCATGGCATATTTTTACAAAGATTTTCTAGGCACTTGCAAAAGTCGCGCAAATTTTCTGGTATGTATTCTGAACAAAAGTGAGCAAGAAATTCCAGTTTTTTTTTACAGTAATAGATATATACAAATGTGTAAATAAATTAGTTTAAGCAGTTCAAATGGCGCGAAACTTAGATAACCGTTTACCAAATATGAAATAAGTATAAAGTCTGAGGAGCATTTTCAACATTTATGCTTCAACCATCATCGTGCATGAAATATTCTATTTAAAATCTTATATCTAAAAAGAAATTCTGATTTTAACATTTTGTGATAGGTTTATATAATGAATATGACTTAAAGTTGTTTTTACAACTAACAGTGAGATAGATGGTGAGATATATCCCGGTATAGTAAAGGACAAAGGTGAAGCAAAGAAAGATTATGAGAGAGCAAAGAAAAGAGGACAGACAGCCGGACTTGTCAGTCAAAAGTAATTATAAAGTAACCATTTACTTAGTTTCCATGGAAATTATATAATGTACTACCCAAAAACATTTGAAAACAGAAAAATGTGTCGCAAAATGACATTTCATCATAGTTGATCGCGGAAAGTAATGATTGATTATTGATTTGCATTTGTTTTTGTTATAAAATCACATGTATCCTGTATCAAAAGCTTAATTTTAGTTAAAACTAATGTAAGGAATGTCTCTCCAAATACAATTACGAGTAAGTTGTCGAAAAGATTACTCGAGCCATCGTGATGCCACGAAACAATATATTTAACTTTACTGCATTTTGTATATACATGGACATGTATTCGGTTGTATACTCATTTATAAACTAATCAATATGCGCAATTCTTTGATTTCCACTTTCTGTCTCTGATATCTAAATCAGTGATATTAATTTTTTTTAATTTTTGGGCAATTATTATTCAAGGCCACGAGAATCGAGGAAGTTCAATGTCAAAATAGCAGTGGCTGCGTTCAGTAAATCTACGTTCAATTTAACATACCAGGAATTTCTTAAACGTGTCAAAGGGGCGTATGAACACAAGATATTTATAAACCCTGGCTATCCCGTTAAAGATTTTAAGGTACGTTGCCAAAATATATGCATAAAAATAAACAGTATAACATATAAGTATTTTTTATTACTTTAATTTTTAAATATGCAATTATAAATGTTTAGATTTACTAAGAGTTGAGTTCATGTCAGTCTCTGTACGTGTAGTGTCTTATGAGAGAAGCTTGTCACATGGCCGTATGAAAGAAGAACTAGCAGATGCAGGTAGTAGACATTTCGAAATAATTGGAACACATTTCAAGGATTCTAAACTTGTCAGAGATAAGTATTGTATAAAGTATGAATGAGAGAGGCATGCTTCTAAAACAGCCAGTTGTCTTTTATGATAGCTGTGATAATTCATAATTTCAGGTCACAGTAGCCATTTTGGAATCACGTGACATTACAAAGCTCGTGGTTCCCCCAATCAAAGCTCTGAAATATTTACTTACGGAAAACGAAGAGGTAAAGGGTATGTATTGAATTAGTTTCTTATTGAAATAAAGAATTTCAATCGTGCAGTATTTTATCCATGTTTGTTATAAAAATATGATGAATGTCAATACAACAATAAAAACATTACTAGCTGGATATATTTAGAAACGATATGTTTCTTCCGTTGGTACGAAATTTCTACATGTTATGATAGTATTACTTATTTATTTTAATAAGAAATTGTTTGATTACTGCTACTCTGAACACTACAATTTGAACACTACTTTTTTATTTGCATTTCATCTCTTACACCATAATAAATAATTTATAATTAATTTTTATGTTTTTCTTTTTCTCTCTAGAAAACGCGCTCGCGGTAATAACAAGGCCTACCAGTAGAAGTGCATACATTCAATATTCACCAACGTTAGACGATCAAGGCACGAACGGTGTGTCTGGACAGTTTATTGTACAATATGATATAGATAGGTCACTGGATGGGGGAGATATTTTGGTACATTTCTTTTAATTCAGAGATAATAGATATGATAATAAATATTCCTGATATCAAGCATAGTACCATATTTAGGTATCATCGAGGCAGTCATGTTGTCTTTTAGTTATAAATCGGAATAATTCAGTGATTTAACTCACTACCGTGTTGGAGTTGATCAAAAAGTAGAAAAATACCGCTGTTTTCACCGATTCTTACATTTTTTATTCATGGCCGTATATAAAACGGTAAGAATAGATGAATTAGACATCTTAAAGTGCATTTCTGCTGGTGAAAAGGTGAATTAGCATTTAATCATATATACCGAAGTATTTAGTGTGGTGCTCAAACATATTTTATAGTCTCACATATAACTCAAGGTGATGCCAATCTGTCTTTAACCCATCTTCATATCATGTCATATGTAACATTTCTTTTTCTTATCATCTTTATGACCCGTGATATTTCACAAAAGATAAGCTGGTTAACAATTTAATTTGATATTTCAATAAGTACTATAACGTTTGACGTATATTTTTGTTCTTTGTTGATCACATTTGATCTAAATTTTATCAACCTAGTACTGTTATCTTGCTTATAAGTTGTTTCCCTTTCTTGTTTAGGTCGTCAATGGGTATTTCGTGCATTTTCTTGCCCCAGAAGTAAACACGGTTATCCCGAAAGACGTCCTCTTTATATTGGATGTCAGTGGTTCAATGGGTGGACGGAAAATCGAACAACTAAAGGAAAGTTAAAATTCTTTATATTTTACAACATTACGTGAATGGTGCTGATGTCATTTGACTATCACAAACCTGGTCTTGCGTACATTGCTTAAAAGACATAGCTCAATTAATTCAATTTATTATAAGATTCTGGTTTCTGCATAAACATTTCATATGAACATCGTACCAATAAGCATCATGAATCATGTTATCTTTTGTCTATACTTTCTTATGTTGTTTTTTTTTCCTGTCCTTTTTTCATAGTTCTTTATTTTCAGCTTGCCTTCACTGTTTGTTTTTTGTTTTTGTTTTGTTTTGATGTTTTGTTTTGTTGTTGTTTTTTGGGGTAATTATTTCAATACTAAAACCTTTTGTTATATTCTAATTTCTAAATCTTAGAAATGGTAATTTAAATACTGTTGCCGTTGCTGTTAAAGGCGTCAGAGGTTTGTCATTGTATTAAGTAACTTTACACAACAATTATTTTACCTTTTATTTGTTGTTATCATTTAAAGTCATAATTTCTAACATATTTTGCCCGGCGGGTTTTAATCTACCCTAGCATTCGAGACATGAGCTAAAAGGAACTTCTGAGTCGATAAGAAGTTCATTATACTTATTATTTTTATATTTGACTTAACAGCAAACGGCCACCTATTTCAAATAAAACAAAAAAGTAGCACTGTGCTATATGTTTTTTCATCATAGAACTTGACTGAATTGGCTGTGTTATTTACGTCATAGTAGCAAAAGTTGATCGATTACAATTTTAAACGCCGACAGATCATGTTCTTTTAAATCAACTTTTTAATCCTCTGTTTGAACGGGAGCGGTGGCCTAGTGGTTAAGGTGCCTGCATCTAACCCAAAGATCATGGGTTCGAGCCCTAATCGGGTCACCACCATGTTTCTTAATATGACACCAGTACTGGTTGGTTCCAGAAAGCGGACTCGAAAGTGATTAATATAAGTTGCAAGAACTTGTTTCGCAATCAAGCATAAATAAATATGTTTAAACCAGTCCTCTGTTTACAGGATGCAATGTTTATTGTACTAGATGAGCTGAAGGAGGGAGACCGATTTAACATAATAACATTTTGTCATGATGTTAAAACGTACAAGCCGGGCATGATAGATGTAACTCAGAGGGAGGTTCTTGATGCAAAAACGTTTACTAAAAGAATTACTGTCAATGGCTGTATGTTTGTTTGTTTGACTGTAGTACTAATTTACTGACACATCCTTTCTCAATGTACCCATCCATGTATGATTAAAGTACATGTCAAACCGAACCGTACCCAATTTAGTTGCTACACCAAGTTTAAACAAAATGATGATATTGAATGCTATAATTGTTATGTTTCAAAGCTGTTAATTTTCATACATAGGAAGTAAAACTATTCATTTGGCAGCTCTCATATTTCCTGCATAATACTTGCGTCATGCAGGGAATCGATCCTGATACTTAATTGTCTCAAGTGTATTCTTTATAAGCGAGTAAGCCGGTAGCCTTGAATTTGAATTACATTGCGATTTTTCAAGATGTGTTTGCATTTTTCTTTTATTAATTTAAAATGTTTGCATGATCATATAAATGTAAGCTTTATTGGCTAGAATTTTACAGCGAAAAGGAAAATAATGATCATGGCATTCCTGGATATCTTTTTATAATAGTTACAGACATTAATAAAGCTGTAATGAAAGGTCTGAAGCTACTCCATAACTCACGGCAAGAAGACGAACGGTCCCCAGTTATAGTGTTTCTTACAGACGGGCAACCAACAGGCGGCGAAACAAATCCTAATTCAATATTGAGAAACATCGATGTTGGCAATGAAGGTATGTATATTTTCAAATGATTGTAGCCCTTGATCGGTTATTACCCGTTGAAGTCATTATAAAACAAAATCAAAATATAAACATTTCTTTTAGCCAAGTTGAAATTTTTAACATAATTCATTATTATTATTTTTTTGCTTCGGAAAAAGTTATAAAATATAGGAATTACTTTTACCATGGTTAAATTTAAAAGATATAGACTTTAGTACAGTTGTAAAAGTTAATAAATAAAGACATTCGTTTTTACCATGGTAAAAGTTGTATTTTAACATTACCCGCAGTTTTTCCCTATTGAACATAAAAGGACTGAAAGCATGTTTTATTGTTATGTTAATTATTCATTTTGCCGTGCACTGTTCGTCATTTAGATCAAAGAAAAGTATTCTTAATTTCCGCGCATGCGTCGATTGTCGTTTGTATCCGTAGCGTCTGTTATTCCCTGCGGTCTGGAGACCACAGGATATTGGTACGCGTTTAGCTTTTGAGGCATGGATGAGCACGTGACCTGTTTTCGGTACATGGAGGAGCATGTGATCTGTAAACCGTACATGATTGGTTAATTGACCTTTTCGAAAACCTAGCTAAATACCGTTTGCCGGTACGTTACGGATTTACCTGTAAACATTTTCAATATGATCTACGTAAGGAGACGGCCTACTGAATTTTCGACCCATATATCCTATAGTAAATCCATCACATTTAAGGCTAAATTCTGGACAAACCAAATCCGGTACCGAAACTTCATGACCATTTCTTTAAACACCAATGCAGTCCAAGTAAATTTAGCACAAAGAAATAATACATTAGCCCTTGGAGTTTTTCTGCAGCTTTTAATTTCTGTAATCACTATAGAATATTCCAAATGGTAACTGGTGTGTATTCTTGTGCATAGTGCCTCATGAAACCTTCCACCAAGAAATGAAATCCTGCAAAAATACATCAAAAACAACCTTTAAAGTACTCAGAAATGAAACTTCATGTACATGATTACTAAAGATATACTTAAACTATAACCAGTATCAATTAAGATGACTTGAAATTGGCCATTTCAAAATTAAAACGAACTACTCTCTAGACTACAACGGGCTAGGTATAATTCCGTACCGGGGTGACACCGTAAATAACCGAGGTATATCGAGTGAAAAAATGTGAGTTGCTTCCCTTATCTTCGAGTAAAATCGATATCGCTTATGCTAAAACAATACAAAATAAGCTGTTTTTAAACCACTAGTTTGTTGTGATTAAATGTCCGATTTTAAAATGTATAGAAAGCTTTGGATCTTAGCTTCGTCACTGTATAAAATTCAACACATCTTTGGACTTCAAAGTATTTTAATTAACTGTTAAACATACCATATGTCAGACAATTCTACATACGATTTATACAGTGAGATACGCAATCCGTTATCTTTACTGATATGAATAGCCAGTCGTCTGCTAGTTCTGAAAGTGTTTATCGGTGTTTATTTCTAATTCTCTATAATTATTTTACCGTTAAAGTTGGAAAAAACTTGAATGATATGTTTGAAAATTATCAATGTTTCTTTAATATCTATCTCAAATTTTACAACAATAAATTGTTTATACTGAAAATCTACAAAATTAAATTTGCGTAGTGGCATCAGCCATAATAAATATAGATATTTTCTGCGTAAACCTGTGTGTTTACTTTATTTATTTTTTGCTCGGAATTATTCATAAAATGAAGGCCTATTTAATCATTTCCAAAGAAATAATTGTTTTATGCTCGGCCTTCTCCGGTCTTCAACGCTCACCAGTATCCAAAGACCTTCTTCTATAGTGATCGTTTATTAAACTTTATCCCTGATACAAACGTTTATTTACTCCCCCCCCCCCCCAAAATAATGTTGAAAATAGTTAAAAGAAATATCTTTATATATATCATTAAAATGTTCACCGCAGGAAACCATTTTACCTGTAGTCTCCTATTGTATTGTATCGGATGATTCCGTAACATACGCTTATTAGCAGAAATTCACGGAAACGGCCGAAACTATTCAACTTTGTCTGTATCTTTGCAATTTTGTGAACCTTTTTTGTATGTCCAATCGTTTTGTACGTTGAATGAAAGAGATTTTAGAGAAAGTTTACATAGGATTTTAACATTTTCTTTCTTCCACATTCCCGCTAACTTTCCTTCTCCGCTTCACTTTTTTCTTAATGCTCTTACGAGTTAAGATATAAATTCTACTTCCATTAATTCTATCAGTTTATTTAATAGAAGTTTTGGAAATAACTTATCATTAAGTAATTTACTTTTTGTATTGAGACGGTGTGGTAAGATTTTTTTCATTTGATTCTATAACTATTTCCATGACAAAAAGAAATGTTTATATATTGTATGTGTAGCCATGGCAACAGCAATGCCTTTTTAATTATTATAACTTTTACCACGGAAAACGTTATAGAATCAGACATTGCTTTTTGCCATAGAAAAAGTTTTACTTTTAGTTTTCCCCCAAAGTTAATCACTGTTGACGATCGTTTTGATGCGAAGAAATTAACCACTCACGCCTACGGCCTTCGTGGTCAATTCCTACGCATCAAAACTCCAAATCAATTAAATAGCTGATAAACACCGCTCAGACCATATTATTTCTTAAATATATACCTTAATCTTAACTCTCTTGGTAAAAGTTAAAAAGTATAGGCATTTCTTCTGGTATAAATAAGTAAAGAACATATATTGTTGTTTCGGTTTTTTTGTGTTGTTTTTTTTTTTTACACTTTTCAAGGATTACATAACATTAAACACAATATAACAAAACCATAACTATGCGCCATGCGTATGTTGGTTACATTATGTCTTAATAGATATCAAATTTCAGATTTCTCAGATAGGCTAGTAACAACAACAAAGTTATATTTGCATAAAAGTTATAACAACATTGTAATGTAATGTAATGTAATGTAATGTAATGTAGTGTAGTGTAGTGTAGTGTAGTGTAGTGTAGTGTAGTATAGTATAGTATAGTGTAGTGTAGTGAAGTGAAGTGAAGTGAAGTGTAGTGAAGTGTAGTGTAGTGTATTTGATATAGTTTAATGTAATGTCATATAAGTAGTATTCAGGCCAGAACATTATCTAGGCTAAGCTGAGCTTCTTATGTCGATTTGGTACACTTTATAGCCATACATGAAATAATATTAACAGTGATACAAGTTCAAATACAAGTTAATACAAAAAAAACAAAAGTTAGCGGGGCAAGATAAATTCTCATTCTATTGCAAAATACTAGTAAGAATACATGTATCCAAATATAGCTTGAAAATAGTTTTCCCTTGTCGGCGACGTTGGTGAGCAGCATCGTCTCTTATGGAATACTTTTTATTTTGGCCTATGGAAGGAGCTGTTATTATAAGCAGTTAGTTTCATTTTGCTTCGTAAAAATAAAGTATACAAATATGTTGATATATTTGTATCTAATAATTTCGTGTAAAAAGCGTGTACATTGTGATATTATTTACACAAAATTGCAGGCTCAGTTTAACAGCTTGTCCTTTAGCTTTATTGGCAATACTTAAACCCAGATTTTGAATATCGTTGTGGTCTACATTAATGCCGTATATTTTTCAATCATTTATATATCATTCGGAACTGCCTCGGCTGTTATCTACTATAATAACCTCGGAAACAATACGGATTGAAAGTAGTTCTACCACGTGGTTCCAGATGTAAACAGAAACAGAGATAGTACAAGTAGAGATTTTGATGCTAAAGCATCAAGTCGCCGGATAGATAGAAATATGATTGTAATTGATTGTAATTATCATAAATAAAAGACAATATCAGTTTAATGGTTCGAGTATAAAGAAAAGAGGAACAATAAGTTTAGTAATGTTTATTCATAAACACGTGTTCATGTACTTGCCACAATTATAATTATCTTTCTTGCTAAAAACTTTGTAAAAGAGTTTTATGCAATAAATTTATGTTATGTTATATTCTAACACGACCCGCATTTTTCCACACTGAACATAGAAGAACCGAAAAGGTGTTATTATGCAATAAATCTATATTATATTTAGACATGTGACGTAATCATTATACACGTGACGTAACCTCTAAAAATGTGACTCGCTGAAATCAGGGGCAATCTAAATTAATATCAGGTACGGCAGCATTTTTTGTTGATATTTTGTTAGAATTCAAATAAATATATCCAAATCAGTTTTTATCGCTTGATAACATCAATGCTTGTCGTTCTGATGCGCATCATTATATCACTCGGGCTACGCTCTCGTGATATAATTCCTCGGATACGAACTCCAAACAGTGATGTTATTGAGCGATAAAATCACTGTTTGGGATATATTATTTCTTAAATAAAACATCATATTTGAAGCAAACTTGCTTAGCAATTTTGTCAAGAAACTGTTACTATTATTAAATAAGCAAGTATTGTTTGCAATATTTACCCGAGACTCAATAATTTTCGGGAGTTGTTTTGTTAGCTTACAATTTATTATGATTAATGTTTAAAAAATAATATATCCCAAACTGTGATTTTATTGCTCAATAACATCACTGTTTGGAGTTCTGATGCGGGGAATTATATCACGCCCAAGTAGCCCGAAAGATATAATGATGCGCATCCGAACGATAAACAGTGATGTTATCAAGCAATAAAATCACAGATTTGGATATATTATTTCGATTCTAACACGACATCAACAAATAAATGCTGCCTTACATGATAATTAGATAAACTGTGCCTGATTTTTTTCCGTACTTATTTTCAGCGCGTCACATTTTTAGTGGTTACGTCACATGTACAATGTATAACGATTACGTCACATATCTAAATATAGAACGTCAAACAGTGATTTTATAGCAAAATAATACACACTTTCGGTTCTTCTATGTTCAATAGGGAAAAATGCGGGTCGTGTTAGAATAACGATTTTATTGTAAGTATAATTACATGTATAATTTTATCAATTAATACTGCTCGATGACCTAGTGGTAAGTATGACGAAGTTGTAACCTACATGTAGTAGGCGCAAGTTCGAATCT